GTCAAACATCACTGTTTGCCAATGATACAATCGTATACCTAGAAAACCCTGAAGACTCATCCAAAAAGCTTCTAGAACTGATACATAAATTCAGCAAAGTTTCAGGATACAAAATTAATGTATACATATCAGTAGCTCTGCTTTACACCAACAGCAATAAAGCTGAGAATCAAAGCAAAAACTCAACCCCTTTTACAATAGCTGCAAAATAATAATACTACTACTTAGGAATATACCTAACCAAGGAGGTGACAGACCTCTACAAGGACTGCCGAAAGAAGTTATAAATGACACAAACACATGGAAACACCTCCCATGCACACGGATGGGTAGAATCAATATTGTAAAAATGACCACATTGCCAAAAGCAATCTACAAATTCAATGCAATTCCCATCAAAATACCACCATCGTTCTTCACAGAACTAGAAAAAATCATCCTAAAATTCATATGGAACCAAAAAAAGAGCCCACATTGCCAAAGCAAGACTAAGCAAACAGAACAAATCTGGAGGCATCACACTACCCAACTTGAAACTATACTTTAAGACTACAGTCACCAAAACAGCATGGTACTGCTATAAAAAGGCATGTAGACCAATGGAACAGAATAGAGAACCCAGAAATAAAGGCAAATACTTACAGCCAACTGATCTTCTACAAAGCAAATAAAAACAGAAAGTGGAGAAAGGACATCCTATTTAACAAATGGTGCTGGGATAATTGGAAAGCCACATATAGAAGAATGAAACTGGATCTTCATCTTTCACCTTATACAAAAATCAACTTAAGATAGATCAAAGACTTAAATGTAAGACTTGAAACCATAAAAATTCTGGAAGATAACGTTGGAAAAACCCTTCTAGGCATTGACTTAGGCAAAGATTTCATGACCAAGAACCCAAAAGCAAATGCAACAAAAACAGTGATAAATAGATAAGACTTATAAACTAAAAAGCTTCTGTAGGCCAGGCACAGTGGCTCACGCCTGTGGTCCCAGCACCTTGGGAGGCTGAGGCAGGCAGATCATTTGAGGTCCAGAGTTCAAAACCAGACTGGCCAACATGGTGAAACTCCATCTCTACTGAAAATACAAAAATTAGCCAGGAATGGTGGTGGGCATCTATAATCCCAGCTACTTGGGAGGCTGATGCAGGAGAATCGTTTGAACCTTTGTGACAGAGAATGCAGTGAGCTGAGATCGCGCCACCACCCTCCAGCCTGGGTGACAGAGTGAGGCTCCATCTCAAAAAATAATAAAATAAATAAATAAATAATAAAAAGCTTCTTCACAGCAAAAGAAATAATCAGCAAACAGGCAACCCACAGAGTGTGAGAAAACCTCTGCAATCCATACATCTGACAAAGGACCAATACCCAGAATCTACAAGGAACTCAAACAAATCAGCAAGAAAAAAACAAACAATTCCATCAACAAGTGGGCTAAGGACATGAATGGACAATTCTCAAATGAAAATATACAAATAGCCAACAAACATAAGATAAAACGCTCAACATCACTAATGATCAGGGAAACGCAAATCAAAACCACAATGCAACGCCACCTGACTCTTGCAAGAATGGCCATCATCAAAAAAATCAAAAAATAATAGATGTTGGCATGGATGTGGTGAAAAGGGAACATTTTTACACAGCTAGTGGGAATATAAACTAACACAACCACTATGGAAAACAGTATGGAAGTTCCTTAAAGAACTAAAAATAGATCTACCATTGGATCCAGCAATCCCACTACTAGGTATCTACTCAGAGGAAAAGAAGTCATTATACGAAAAAGATACTTGTACACACATGTTTAGAGCAACACAATTTACAACTGCAAAAATATGGAACCAGCCCAAAGGCCCACCAATCAAGGAGTGGATAAAGAAAATGTGACATACATATATATATATATATGTATGTATGTATGTGTATATATATGTGTGTATATATGTATCTTATATACATGGCCCGATCTATATATATATATCATGGACTACTACTCAGCCATAAAAAGGAATGAAATAATGGTATTCGCAGCAATCTGGATGGAATTGGAGACCATTATTCTACATGAAGTAACTCAGGAATGGAAAACCAAACATCGCATGTCTTCACTCATAAGCAGGAGCTAAGCTAGGCATAAGAATGATACAACGGACTTTGGGGACTGGTGGAAAGGGTCAGAGGGTGGGGGTGAGCAATAAAAGACTACCTATTAGGTACAGTGTACATTGCTTGGGTGCACAAAAATCTCAGAAATTACCACTAAAGAACTTATCCTTTTAACCAAACTTCACCTGTTTCCCCCAAAACCTACTGAAATTTAAAAAAAAAAAGGCACAAATAAATAAATATTTACATTTTAATTTAATTTTTTAAATTTTCCTCTGAGCCTAGGGCTCTAAATGCTTAAATAACAATTTCCTGGATGTAATAATGATAACTATTAGTGATAGGAAACAGATTCATAAGAATAAATATATAATAAACCATTTTATAATTATTAAACATTACAAAGCAAAATGTTATTTGAAATGTATATGTTAGTGAATGGGGCTTTATTCTTGTTTTTTCAATTCATTCATCTATATGAGGATAGTTATTAAGTAGTCATTACTAGAATAAGAGAGTTCATCAATTTTATTTTTATTTTTATTTGGTTTTTTGCTTTTTTGTTTTTTCTTTTTCATAACATAAGCAAAGAGAAAATGTGTTCATATAAATAAGAGGATAGGGGAAAAAAAGAGATATTGTGTTATAATACTGGCATTCTGTTCTTTGTACTCTTTTCAAGTTTCAGGCCCAAAATCCCAGGGTAGTCCATCATGGAAAATTACTTTCAAGGACCTCTCTGCAGACAATTTGATTAGCTCCACCTTCAAAGGACAGGACAGCATCAGAACTGCTAAAGGAATTGTGGGCCAGGCATGGTGGCTCACACCTGTAATCCCAGCACTTTGGGAGGCTGAGTCAGGTAGACCACCTAAGGTCAGGAGTTCAAGACCAGCCTGGCCAACATGGCAAAACCCCATCTCTACTAAAAATACAAAAAAAATTAGCCAGGCGCAGTGGCGCACACCTGTAATCCCAGTTACTTGGGAGCCTGCAGCAGAAGAATTGCTTGAACTTGAGAGGCGGAGGTTGCAGTGAGCCAAGATCCAGCCACTGTACTCCAGCCTGGACAACAGAGGGAGATGCCACCTCAAAAACAAACAAACAAAAAAAATGGACTTGTTCCCAGTGATTAGAGATAGGGCCCTTCACTTTCTCCACGCCAGCACCAACATTCCAAGGGGACCTCCATGTCTGCCTGAAGACCATGCCACCCAGAGACAAGGTCATAAGGCAAGAGCCTCTTTCTTGCGTAAGGTGGAAAAGGGAAGCTGTGCCAAGGAAGGAAGGAAAGGAGGGCTGGCCTCCCCGGCATTCTTAGGCACAGCAGTTATAGGGAAGAGAACACATGGAAGCTGAGGACCTAGAAACTAATTTTCTCAACACTCTCTGTACATCTGTGTATGGCTCGGAAAGGATGGCGTTTTTGACAGAACAATGGCTCCAGTCTAACAGCTACCGACTCAGATGGCCTCTGGCAGGCTCCACCTCCAGGCTAGTTTTTCCAGATCGCAGGGCTATAAAAACTGAGGAAAGAAACCAAACCCTGATCGACTAAAAGGGAAACCCACATATTACATGCCTTTTGATATGGGTGATACATCTGCAATACACAGCACTATGACATCTTCATGCCTTAAAAATGGAATCTGAACTAATCAAGACTCCAGGTCTAACTCCCAGCTTACAGGAAATACAGGGGACTGAGGAACAAGTTAGACAGCACCACAAGGAAGTAATCAGCCAACATTCTAGAGACAAATGACCCAGTTTCTCCAACAAATTACTAGCATGAAAAAAAAAAAAAAAAACGAACTGTTAAAAAATTAAAGAGACTTAAAAGATATAACAAACAAATGCAATGTAAAAACCTTGTTTGGACCCCAATTATAACAAAACAATATTAGATGACACCTTTAGAAAGATGGAGAAAATCTGAATATGGACTGGATGTTAGATCACAAAAAGGAATTATTAATTTGGTAGGTATAATGGCCATGTGATTATGTTTATTTTTAAAAAGTCATTCAGTTAGACATGTGTGTTGAATTTACAGGTGGAATTACATGATGTCTGGGATTTGCTTTTACAAAATATTCTAACCTCCCAAGAAGGTTGGGGGAGGACAGGTGAATTGAGATTAGCAAAATGTCAATAATGATCGCAGTTGGAAGATGGGTATCAGGGATGCATCACAGGCTTCTATCCACAATTTTTACATATTTAACAATGTCTATAATATCCTGGGTTCCATAACTCAAACCTGTAATCCCAACACTTTTGGAGCCCTAGGCAGGTGGATCACTTGAGCCCAGGAGTTCAAGACCAGCCTGGGCAACGTGGTGAAACCCTATCTCTGCAAAAACTCAAAAACTCAGCCAGGCATGGTGGCACATGCCTGCGGTCCCAGCTACTCAGGAGGCTGAGTTGGGAGGATCACCTGAGCCCAGAGCGGTTGAAGCTGCAGTGAACCATGATTGTGCCACTGTACTATAGCCTGGGTGACAGGGTAAAACTGTCTCAAAAAAAAAAAAAAAAAGCCTATAAAAAAGATCCTTTAAGGGAGAAGGGGAGGAAAAACGTATATTTAGTTAGAGCCAACTATGTATTAGTCTAGGCCTGTGCTAGGCCCTTACCAAATATGATCTTGTTTTCCTAGTCCTGAGGCAGCTGTCAAATAAACCTCATTTGCTGTCTAAAGAGAAACGGGCATTTGATAAGCTGGGAGATAAATATGGCAGGTGATTAGAGGGAGGCGTTAGTGCCTGAGGAACACAGAGATGCATCTAGGTCGCAAGGGGAGGGACTGAAGACAACCCTTGGCAGACAAATGTCAGAATCAGTATGCCTCAATTTCCATTTCTCCTACTACATGCTACTTACCCCTGCAGCAAAGCCAAGACTTCCATCTAAGATCCGCCTCTGAAAATCAAAACAAGATGTTTCAGTTTCCAAGAGTCAATAAGATGATGTTTCCTGGGACAAGAAGAAACCATAAGGCCCAAAAGAGCCACACAAATAAAGACTGGCCCACTCCTGAGCTCGTGAGCTCCTAAGTTTATACAATGGGCCAAGAACCAGGGGGAAAGCTTTTGGTTAACTTTCCATCCACCCCATAGCCAATCAGAAGTGTTCTTTCAAGTGGTGCTTGGCTTGCCTTGGCCCTTGTGTTGTCTCTTACTCAGCTTTCCCTGTGAATTACGTTTGTAAACCTTTAGTAAGTAGCCAGTATAAACCTTTAGTAAGTAGTCGTCATACAAGGGTTGGTGACGAGCAGAGGAGCAGGTGAAACAATCAAAACCCTCACACAGGCCGGGCACAGTGTTCACGCCTGTAATCCCAGCACTTTGGGAGGCCGAGGCAGGCAGATCACCTGAGGTCAGGAGTTCAAGACCAGCCTGACCAACATGATGAAACCCCGTCTCTACTAAAAATACAAAAACTTAGGCTGAGCGCAGGGGTTCACGCCTATAATCCCAGCACTTTGCGAGGCCGAGGCAGGCAGATCACCTGAGGTCAGGAGTTCAAGACCAGCCTGACCAACATGATGAAACCCTGTCTCTACTAAAACTACAAATATTAGGCTAGGCGCAAGGGTTCGTGCCTATAATCCCAGCACTTTGCGAGGCCAAAGCAGACAGATCACCTGAGGTCAGGAGTCTGAGACCAGTGTGGCCAACATGGTGAAACTCCATCTCTATTAAAAATACAAAAATTAGGCATGGTAATGCGTGCCCGTAATCCCAGCTACTTGGGAGGCTGAGGCAGGAGAATCGCTTGAACTCGGGAGGCAGATGTTTCAGTAAGCCAAGATCATGCCACTGCACTCTAGCCTAGGCAACAAGAGCAAAACTCCATCTCAAAAAAAAAAAAAAAACCGTCACACAATGGGGTGCAAACGGGTACCACCATTTTGGCAAACTATTTGGCAGCACGAATGAGAGGTGAACACTATGCATGCCACTCCTGAGTAATTCCGTAACAGGAATGCACTTGTATTCAACAAACCCATGAAGAAAAATGTTCGGCAGTGCTATTTGTAAGAGCCCAAAACTAGAAACTACCCAAATTCTCACCAACAGCAGGATGGATATGTTAATTAGGATATATTCATACAACAGGTACCATATGGCAATGGGAACACACATACTACAGTTATATATATACATATATCTTACAAACACAGGGACATTAAAGAAACTGGAAAACAAGTAGGGTAAAATCAGCCAGATGCAGTATATACTATATGATTACTCCATCTAAATAAAGCACAGAAACAGGGAAAATAGGCCGGGCGCGGTGGCTCAAGCCTGTAATCCCAGCACTTTGGGAGGCCGAGACGGGTGGATCACGAGGTCAGGAGATCGAGACCATCCTGGCTAACACGGTGAAACCCCGTCTCTACTAAAAAATACAAAAAAACTAGCCGGGCGAGGTGGCGGGCGCCTGTAGTCCCAGCTACTCGGGAGGCTGAGGCAGGAGAATGGCGTGAACCCGGGAGGCGGAGCTTGCAGTGAGCTGAGATCCGGCCACTGCACTCCAGCCTGGGCGACAGAGCGAGACTCCGTCTCAAAAAAAAAAAAAAAAGAAAGAAACAGGGAAAATATCCGTGCTGCCAGAGATCAGAAAGGAGATGATCCTTGGAGTAGAGGTTGGGGATGGTAGGATCGGAAAGGAGACTGAAGGCTCCTGATTGGAAGGGGCTGTGAGGTGAGGAGCTGGTACTGTTTTGTTTCTTGATCTGGGCTCTAGTTTCACGAGCATTTGTGGAAAGTCATCAAACTGCACACTTATATTAGGTTGGTGCAAACCTAATAAATGTACCAGCCTAATAAAATGTGCATTTTTCCAAATGCATCATATTTCAATAAAGGTTTTTTTTTTTTGCTATCTAGCCATAGATGAATGGATAGACAAAATATGGTATGTACATACAATGGAATAGTCTTCAGCCTTAAAAACGAAAGAAATTCTGGCACATGCTATAACATGGATGAGCTCTAAGGACATTCTTTGAAGTGAAAGAAGCCGTGTGGTGTACAGAACTTTTCACCTTACAAAACTGAAACCCCGTCTCTACTAAAAATACAAAAATTAGCTGGGCATGGTGCCACACACCTGTAGGCACAGCTACTTGGGAGGCTGAGGTGGGAGGCTCACTTGAACCCAGGAGGCGGAGGCTGCAGTGAGCTGAGATCATGCCACTGAACTCCAGCCAGGGCAACAGGGCAAGACTATGACTCAAAAAAAAAAAAAAACAACAGCCTGGACAGATAGGGTTACCAGTGAAACCCCATCTTTACTAAAACTACAAAAAAAATTAGCAGGGCATGGTGGTACACGCCTGTAATCCCAGCTACTCAGGAGGCTGAGGCAGGAGAATCACTTGAACCTGGAAGGCAGAGACCAAGTGAACCAAAATCACGCCACTGTACTCCAGATTGGGAGGCAGAGCAAGACTCTGTCAAAAAATAAAATAGGCCGGGCGCGGCGGCTCACGCCTGTAATCCCAGCACTTTGGGAGGCCGAGGCAGGCAGATCACCAGGTCAGGAGATCGAGACCATCCTGGCTAACACAGTGAAACCCTGTCTCTACTAAAAAATACAAAAAATTAGCCAGGCGTGGTGGCGGGCGCCTGTAGTCCCAGCTACACAGGAGGCTGAGGCAGGAGAATGGCGTGAACCCAGGAGGCAGAGCTTGCAGTGAGCCAAGATGGCGCCACTGCACTCCAGCCTGGGCGACAGAGCGAGACTCCGTCTCAAAAAAAATAAAAATAAAAATAAAATAAAATAACCCTGAAACTCTGTACTCATTCAATAATAACTTATTTCTGCCCTCCCCTGCAGCCCCTGGCAATCACCATTCTACAATGTGTCTCTATGCATTTGACTCGTCTTGGCATCTTATATACCTAGGTTCTAGATAACCTGTGTTTTTGGATTGTGTGTTTTCTGATTTCCAATCTCCAACCCATCAGCTCCCGGGGCCGATGCGGTGCAGCAAGGGAGGTGGGGATTTTATTGTCCAAATCAAGGCCTGCTGTACTGGTCTCTAACACAAGAGCGCCTGACTTGCGAACTTCCTGAAGGTGTGTTCATTTCCAAATCTCCCTCACAACATGTTGAATTAGATCTTAAGTCACTTATTCATTTGCCATTCCTACAATGTTTCAGGCTACCCAGGTGAACGATGCAGGCATTGTGCATTCATCAAGATACCCATGGATGGCTCCAGGGCTACCGGACTGAGGGTGATCTGGGCTGGGGAAGAGAATGCAATTTCAGGCATATGAGGTGAGTGTGGGTTGTGCAGAGGTGTGGGGAGGGTACATGGATATGTGTGCAAGTATGGGTGTGTGGGACTATAGGTAGAGTGTGTAGAAGGGGTGTAAGGATGGGGATGTGGGAGGAGGGAGAGATGTGGGGGATATAGGCATGCATAGGTTGTGGGGGCATGACAGTGAGTGAGGGCACTGGGGCTTGTGAGTGGGATACACGGAAGATGTAGGGGAGAGGGGTAAGGGTCTGCAGGGGGCCTGGATGGTGGGGGGAGCGGCTATATTCATCCCAAGAGGAAATGAAACAACCTGGACATGGGTTAAAAGAGAAAGGGAACAGATGCCCCTTCTTCTTCCAAGGTCTTTCCAACAATCCCACCCAACTCAAGGTCACAGGGGAGGACAGTTACAACTGAAATCTAATGCTCTTCTTTGGTCATGCATAGTACCACTTGCTCCAGGCCTACAAGAAATTACATGGCAGGCCAGGCGCTGTGGCTCACGCCTGTAATCCCAGCACTTTGGGAGGCCGAGGTGGGCGGATCATCTGAGGTCAGGAGTTTGAGACCAGTGGTGAAATCCCACCTCTACTAAAAATACAAAAATTAGCCAGGCATGGTGGCGCATGCCTGTAATCCCAGCTACTCGGGAGGCTGAGGCAGGAGAATCATTTAAACCTGGGAGGCGGAGGTTGCAGAGAGCTGAGATCCTGCCACTGCACTCCAGGCTGGGCAACAGAGCAAGAGTCTGTCTCAAAAAAAAGAAAAAGAAAAAGAAAAAAGAAATCACATGGCAGGTAGAAATGAGGCAGCAGACTAACGAAGCCTCAGTAGCTGGGCTTTTCTCACTTCCCATTCCCTTCAACTCAGGCTGTCGAGGGTCAGGAGGGGAGATGATGGTACATGAAGGCATCTACAGCAAGCAGCCATCTGTTCTCCCGGCCTGGCAGGGAGAAGGCGAGAAAATAAGAAGACAGCGAACAAACCCCAGCACACAATGCCTGGGAGTGTGGCCAGGGGCACTGAAAAAGTCTACAAACCTGCTGGGATGGTGCCCCTTTACCAAGGGGCTCCCCACCAACATTCAGAACCGAAGCAAGGCAACTCACCTGTCCACTAGAGAATACGAACACGAGAGCTGCCCCAGCTGCCGTCATCCCCCAGGTGAAGAAGGTCCCCAGCAAGGCCTGGAACACAGAGCTGTGGCCTTGGAGCATGCTGGATACAGCTGTGCAAGAGGAGCGAGAGCGTCAGCCGCCGGTGGTCCCTTTCAGTGACAGGCGCACATTCTGACACGTCCTAACCCCCTGTGCGGGAGCTGGCCTCCCTCCGGCTTGACAGTATGCACCCTTCCACCACACCATCCCAGTGTCCCTCAGCCACCCGGCACACAGGTCAGGCTTCTCTATCCAGGTCCCTCAGGAATTGGAAATCGTCTTAATCTGAAAGAAGGCATGGGGAGACGCCGGGGAGATGCCAGGGGAACCCATAAAAAGGCTGCAACATTGAGAGGTAGTTTCAAAAAGAAGCACAAAGAATGTGGTTTGTTCCAGGGGAACGGGGCATAGGAGGGTCTGATGCAGCCTCCCCCACACAATCTGCCTCTTCTACCATCTCTTGCCCACCATCTGCGCCCAGCCTCCTCCAAAGACAGGTGACTAGTGCAGGTGATGTCAACACGCTTCCAATCTAAATCCCCGTCATACCTGCAATGGTGCACCTGCCCAGCCAAAGGGTAAACTCCACCAACCAACCTTTGATTCTCCCCACCCCCAACTCTCCAATCCCATTCTCCATCATGCCTGCATGAGCACCAAACTCCAGCTCAACTGGATTATTTACGGCACCTTCCACAAGCCCCAGACAATCCTGCCTCCGAGTGCCTGTTCATTCAGTTCCCTCCTGGAATACCTTCCTTGCACATTTCCAGCCATCCGAACCCGGAGCATCCTCTGCAGCCCACCTAATGCCCAACTTCACAACGAAGGCTTTTCTGGCCTTCCCCAGCCCTGTCCCAGCATGCAGCTTTGGTCCTTTCTCAGCGTGGCTTTGCCTCCATCTTTTACAGCCTTAGTTGCTTGAGGACGGGGATGGTGCTTTTACATATTTGGCCACCCTGCAAAATAGGGCTTTGTAACCCCTGAAAAATATGTGCTGGATGGAAAAGGGCCAGCTTACCTGCACAGGACAAGCAAACGGACCCAGGAATGGAATGTCCCCTGGTCAACTCAGCACCCTGCTGCTAAAGCTGGTTACACCACCGCCCACCAAGGAAGGAAGGGAAGTACCACTCCCTCTCATTTCAGTCCAGAGAACCTCCTCCAGACTTCAACATACTTAAAATTCTGGATCTGAGATGACAATCAGATCTCTCCCTGTGGAAAGTTACAAGGCAGAGAAACCTATTTGTTGAAAAGCCCTGTGTTCCGGTACACAAACGCTGGGCTCAGGGCCTCATCTCAAAGCCTCATTCATCTCCCTGATGGTCGGCCAGCACCCAGAGGGCTGGCTGGACACGACCACAGTGGGCTCAGCCCTGCCAGTCCCCAGTGCTCTGTGAGGAGCCAGCAGCCCTGAACCTGCAGATCAAGAGCTGAAGACGCTGCCTCGACTGACCCTGGAAGGAAACCACGGCAGAGTGTGGATGGAGCCCTTATGCCAAGCGGCTCAGCAACACACCCAGGCTCAAACCTAGGAAGGGCTATGGGTCCAGGTGAGCCCAGGTGAGCCCTGGCTCAGCCCCTGTGCCAGAAACCCTGAGATAAATAGCAGATACGGAATCAGACTCTAATTCCCATACTCTAAACGAACTGCACCAATTGTGAAAACTGTGAGCACGCTAATTAAAGAAAAAAAAATCCTTTTTAAAAGGCTACCCTTTACATCCGTCATCTTGCTCAGCCACCCTAAAAAGAGGGGTTAGTCTTTGTTTTTAAACCAAGCCATCTGGACCATTACACCAATCATCTATTCTGAGTTGCTGTGGATAAAATTTCAAACAGCATTTACAAAGAACAGCACAAAGTGATCATCCTCTCAGTACTTATCATCCAAGACAGGGCATAACAAAAACACCTTTCTTTCCTGTATTTGAATGTGCCTCTTGACAGCTACAGAAGAGAGCAAACAATTTACATTTGCCAACAGGCCAAAGTCAACGTGGATCTTGCGGGCTGGTGAACAGAACAGAGGGAGCTCATGGGTGTTCCTGGCGGTTACTGGGATAGGGAAACACTCGTCTAAGCCTGTCCCCATGTACACCTGAGCACCCTGCTGAGTAAGAAAAAGGGACACAGGCCGGGCGCGGTGGCTCAAGCCTGTAATCCCAGCACTTTGGGAGGCCGAGGCGGGCGGATCACAAGGTCAGGAGATCGAGACCACAGTGAAACCCCGTCTCTACTAAAAATACAAAAAATTAGCCGGGCGTGGTGGCGGGCGCCTGTAGTCCCAGCTACTCAGGAGGCTGAGGCAGGAGAATGGCGGGAACCCGGGAGGCGGAGCTTGCAGTGAGCCGAGATCGCGCCACTGCACTCCAGCCTGGGCAACAGCGTGAGACTCCGTCTCAAAAAAAAAAAAAAAAAAAAAAGAAAAAGGGACACAGAGGGGAGACCAAGTCCACCAAGCTTTCCATCCCAATAGGAGCAGCACGGATCATGAGCAATGCAAGCCCAGTGCCCCTCGGAGAAGTGTCTTCTCTATTAGCTGTTTTAAATCCTTGCTACTCCAAAGGTGGTCAGAGAACCAGCAGCGCTGGTCTGGGCTGGGAGCTAGTTAGGAACGCGGAAACTCAGGTCCCACCCAAGAGTTTCTGAATCAGGGTCTGCATTTTGTGGAATTCCATGGGGGATTCTTATGCACATTAAACTGTGGAAAGCAAAAGATTAAAACTGGTAAAACTTGGCCAGGCACAGTGGCTAACACCTGTAATCCCAGCACCTTGGGAGGCCAAGGCAGGCAGATCACCTGAGGTCAGGAGTTTGAGACCAGCCTGGCCAACATGGTGAAACCCCATCTCTACTAAAAACACAAAAATTAGTCGGGCATGGTGGCAGGTGCCTGTAGTCCCAGCTACTCAGGAGGCTGAGGCAGGAGAATTGCTTCAACCCACGAGGCAGAGGTTGCGGTGAGCCGAGATGGCGCCACTGCACTACAGCCCGCGTGACTGAGCAAGGCTCTGTCTCAAAAAAATAAAAAACAAATAAATAAATAAATCTGGTAAAACTTCTACAATACCAAGAGCTTAGAAAATGAGTTCTCCTGCCCCGTGTGGGATTGACAAGACCAAAGCAGAGTCCCAAAAGAACAGAAAAGTTTTCTGCAGAGTCTCAAGAGAAGAAGAAGTTTCTGGCAGAGTCCCAAGAGAACAAAAAGTCTTCTCTAACCGGCAGACCAGTAACGACTTTAGGGCACAGCATCTCCAGCACAGCTTACACAACGGGGCTCAGACTTCCTCACGATGGGGATATTAATTCCATCAACCTTGATTCGTTAGCGGCAGGGAGAATCATTCTCTGCCCGTTCCAACTTTTAAAATGCCAACAGCCTGTACATTTGTACACATCGGCCACAGCAGCACGTGGGCATTTCCGGTTGATTGATACAGGTTTGTTTTATTTATTTCCTTTCTCCACCTTTTAAACTTGTTGTTCCGCTTCCAAGAGTCAGTTCAAGAGGCTGGTGAAGTTGCAGAAGTGGGAACAGCACTAGGGCTGCTGGGCCTTAGTGGAGCTGCACACACATGCCCTAACTCCACGAGGGGGAATCCAGCAGAAGGATTCAGGTTTGGGCGGAGAGGACTGTGGAAAAGTTCTCTAATGCCTCGCTACTCAAAGCGTGGTCCGCGGAACACCCAACCTGGGAATAGGTTAGCAATGCACACAGTCACGCCCCACCCAGACCTGCTGCAAGTTAACCAGATTCCCAGTCAAGTTCAAGAGGTCCAGCTAACAGCCAGAGCAAGTGGGAGGGGCCTGGGAGCAGCTGGAATTGTAGCTGCCTCTGCTCCCAGGAATCCCGGGTCCCGCCACACACCCCTAGGAAGCGATGAACGAAGAGGATCTTGGGTGAGGAGTAAAAGGCAGGCATGTCATTGCCTTCCAGATCACCCTGGAGAGGGACATAGCGGGGGTCCGGGGACTTCCTTCCCGCCCCCCCCCCACCCTCCCACCCCACCCCGCCACCTGCCAAAGCCTCCAAACCCCTCCTCTCTCCAGACGCACCCCCTTCCAAGCTCCAGGTGGCTGCCCTTCCAAGTCCCAAACACTTGTCCTAATGGCACCCGACCCCGGGCCTCAAGCCCAACCAAAGGCACCGAAGGAGAGAAAAGCCAACTCACTAGGGTGCCCTCTCCAGCCCCCACTGCACTTCCATCAGCCCCCGCTGCCGCTCGCTCGCCGGCTCCACTCCCGCAGTCACTTCCTGCTTCCCTCCCGCACACGTGGCCCTCCCGCCTCCGGGCCCCGCCCCCTCGGCCGCAACTGGCAACTCCCGCCTGAAGAATAGATTCTCTGGTTCACAGCCGTCTGCAGGCTCAGGAACAGATCTGGGCGGGCAGAACAGAGTCCTGAGGCCAAGCGCCCAGCAGTCTGCGAGGGACTGCAGCCCTAGGGGAAGCTACAAACACCCAAGGAAAGAGCCCTTTGTAACACCCCTAATGTTACTTACGCTTTTATACCTTTGGCAGCCAGGTGCATGCCACTGGGAGCGCAGCAGAGCAGGATGTGCTGTGTGTGTGTGGCGGGGGAGGCTGGGGGCAGGTAACGTGATGGCATCGGCATCATTCTCCAGTCAATGAGCCTCAAAAGAATCACTGGAGGGAGTCAAATACAGAATGCCAGCACTCCCAGAGGCTCTGGTTCCGTCATTCTGGGTGGGACTGGCATTTTAGGATGTTTTTGTTTTTGCTTTTGTTTTTTTGAGATGGAGTCTTGCTCTTTTGCCCAGGCTGGAGTGCAGTGACCCAGTCTCGGGTCACTGCAGCCTCTGCCTCCTATGTTCAAGCTATTCTCCTGCTTCAGCCTCCCGAATAGCTGGGACCACAGGTGCATGCTGCCAAGCCCCACTAATTTTTTTTTTTTTTTTTTTTTAGGAGAGACAGGGTTTCACCACGTTGCCCAGGCTGGTCTCGAACTCCTGACCTCAAGTGATCCACTTGCCTGGACCTCCCAAAGTGCTGGGTTATAGGCATGAGCCACTGCACCTGGCCTGAGATTTTGTTTTGAGCTAGGA